TCGCACCTGTAGATGAGCATTCCGTAAGAATTGCTCCAGAGAGGATCCAGAATGTCTCTCTGGAAGATGATGTTTTAACCATTTCTCTCCACAGGGACTATGTTGAATCTGTAGATCTGGCAGGTCATACTCAATTCCTTGCCAGAATTGAAAGGGTTAATAACAACCTATTCTTTCCTATGCAAATATATGATTTAGGAAGAAGTAGGAATGCAAAGCTGGACTTACAGAGTGAGAACAGCTATATTAGCAGAAGTCTGTTAAAACAGATCGCTAATCCTAAAATGATCAGGTACGCTTCCCCACATGACAGGTGGATCCAGAACCTGGATGGCGAATCAGAGAGTCACAATGTGATAGCAAAATGTTTACTATCTATTTCCATCGGAAATAAGACAGTTAAACATCTATTCTTAGTGATAGACGAACCTCGCTATCAGGTTTACGTTGGCAATGATGTCATACATCGCTTTGCCATACACCTTGACCTGATTAATTCCAATTTGTGGACAAGGTTAAAAGGTAATCCTTGTGGAAACCTACACGAGGAAAACACCCTGAAATCAGGACAAATACTCCCATATGCGGTAAGTATCCAAGTTCCTGATGACATAACCATTCCACAGGGGACAAGTAATTTTCTTTTACCCCTACAGGTCAAGAAGGGTCAGAGATTGGAAAACTCTGATGCCCTAATCTGTTTATCCAACAGGATACAACAATTAGGGATGGTGGTAACACATACACCAATGGTAAGTATTGGTAAGAATCCCACCTATATTATGGTCAACAATGTTACACCCAATAGTGTTACTTTACCAAAAGGAACATTATTAGGTCTAGCATTGGATGCTGAGTACTATACATTTGGTTTCCAAAACCAAATTATAGGCCTCATCCCTGAAGAATACTTAACTGAGGACGAAATTGTCGATCAAATATTCCATTCCTCCCCAGAAGGATTATTCACTATCCTATCTGTGTATCCCTTCAATGTTGAAGAAGGCTCGTGTAAAATCGAAGAAGCATCAATCACCTTCGATCATCCGCTCAATGAGCAGGAATCACAAGAGTATCACGACCAAAGAGAAAAGGTAAGTCAACACCGAACTGACCTAACTTCTAGGCTTGAAGAAGCTTATGAGATAGGCCAGCCTGAAATCTTTCCAGGATTTCAGGAAAGGCTAGAAGAGCAAATATCTTTAGCTGACGGTTGCTCCAACGATGCTGAGCGGCAACAGCTAAAGGAAATCCTTTTGGAATTCCAAGATATTTTTGCCAAAGATTCCTACGACTGTGGGTTAACTAACCTCCACGTAGCCAGAATACAAACTGATCCAAATTTACCACCTGTATTTATCAAACAATATAGACTCCCATTAGCGTCATATGATGGTCTACAAGACATCATTCAGAATTTAAAGGAAAGGGGCATTATACGTCCAGTGCACAGTTCGTATAATAATCCGATCTTGGGGATTCTGAAACCTAATGGACAATGGCGTTTATGCGCTGACTTACGACAGCTAAATAAACGCGTCTATATGTCTGGTTGGCCGACGCCATACATAGACCAATGTTTGGTACAAATGCAGGGATCCAAAATATTCACTGCCATTGACTGTGCGCAGGGATATTGGACTGTACCAGTCCATAATGAAGACCAACACAAGTTGGCCTTCACATTTGGAAAGCAGCAGTATACATGGACCCGTATGCCTTTCGGTTATATAAACTCTGGTCATGAATTCGCTGTGTTCATGCATAAAGCTATGCCTGACGCACTCGAGAGAGGAACGTTATCATATGTCGACGATGTCTTGCTGAAAAGCACTTCCTTTGATAAGCATATCTTAGAGATTAGACATGTTCTCACTCAGTTAAGAGAGGCAGGGATTAAACTGTCTTTACAAAAGGCACAATGGTGTCGCACCCATGTCAATTTCCTCGGACATGAGGTAACTTCTGAAGGATTAAATCCCCAGAGGAAGAAGGTTGAAGCCGTACTAAAGGCTAAAACACCTTCAAACATCAGGGAATTAAGATCGTTCCTTGGTATGACTAACTACTCCCGTAAGTTTATAGACAACTATGCAGAAATAACTAAACCACTCTTACACCTGCTTAAAAAGGAAACTACCTGGAACTGGGGGGAGCCTCAGGACCAAGCGGTAAGTGAACTGAGGAGGAAGCTTACTCAGGCACCCTGTTTAGCATACCCAGAGGGGGGTAAACCTTTCTATCTGGAGACAGGATATACCGATTTAAGCATCAGTGCTGTTCTGTATCAGAAGCAGGACAGTTTAAACAAAGTTATTGCATATGCTAGCAAGACTTTGTCACCTGTTGAAGTTAAATTCAACACGTGTGAGAAGGCGTTATTGTCGACTGTCTGGGCACTACAAAATTTTCGTAGCTATATCCAAGGTGAGAAAATAATTGTAGAAACAGCTCACCAACCTCTACAGTATCTGCAGAGTGAAAGAATTAGAGACGGTAATCTCTCTAACAGTCGGATTACTGCATGGACTCTATCCTTACAGGGATGGCCGTTAGAAGTCCGTTATAAACATAATAAGAGAAGCCCAGTTGCCCAAGGTTTAGCAGAATTACATGACTGTACTGCTCCATCTCTGGATGATAATGACACCGGAGATGACTTCCTAGAAGAGCAATTGCTATCTCCTTATAAAGTTTATGACGAGGAATACTGTCGACCACTACCGTGGGTATACATTGATGGTTGTTCATATCACCACGTAGTTGGTGCAGAACGGAAGTTAGTTGCAGGTATCGGAATCGCCTGGACAGGTGATTATCCTAATGTATCTATAGGATACAATATTGGTCCCAAAAGCAGTCAGATAGCCGAACTCTGTGCAGTGTATAAGACCATTCAAATGGCAATAGAATATGGTATCAAAGAATTTGTTATTATAACTGATTCCAACTATGTTCGCAACAGTTTCGTCGAATATCTGCCTAGCTGGAAACGTAACCAAATGCTGAAAAGCAATAACAAACCTGTTAAACATGGGAAATTGTTTTGTAAAATCGATGAACTGGTTAAGGAAAATGGTTTATCCATATATTGGAAGAAAACCAAAGGCCATTCTAAAATAGAAGGTATTGACAAGGATGGTAATGACTTAGCTGATTCACTGGCAAAACAAGCTGCCATCAATGGTGAAACCCTAAACATTGATGATCTTATGGGTTCAATTCATGTTGAAGCCATAACTAGACGACAGGCTAGAGATAATGCCGACTTAAATGTCGTGCAATGGAGTCAAGAAGCTCCTAGTGAGGACCTGATTACCAGTCAAAAGAATGATCCCGTCATAGGCATATTCTATAAACATATAGAAGACCCTACTGCCAATCCCATCACAGATGAGGATTGCAAAAATAATGAAGATTTACGAATCTTGATGAGATATAAAGTCCAATTTAGTATCATGGATGGGTTACTGGTCAGAACTTCTAAACATGGTATACAACAATGGGTAGTCCCAACTGTATACAGAGGGTTAATGCTCCAACACGCACATGATGCACCTACATCTGGGCATCGTGGTGATAAGATCACATATGAGATATTGCGTGATTATGCATATTGGCCACACATGTTAAGGGATGTTAAGACATACTGTCAGGGATGCTTGATTTGTCCGCAATATCAACCCCATGGTCCAACCCATCGTGCACCACTTCAGAAGAGGGGGGTGTCATTACCCTGGTCTGATATTCAAATTGACTTTATAGGTCCTGTAACAAGATCTTCAAGAGGTAACAAATACATGTTAACCGTTACATGTATGTACACAAAGTGGATAGAATGTTTGCCTTGTAAAGAGAACACGAGTACCGTGTGCGCCACTTTGTTGATTAACCATGTCTTTTCCAGGTTCGGTCTGCCTCAAAGAATTGAGTCAGACAGAGGTAGTCATTTTACCAGCGAAGTAATGGCTAAGATGTGGAACATTCTAGGTGTTAAACGAAAGCTACATATTGCATACCGCGCTGCGTCTAGCGGGGGGGTAGAGCGATATAACCAGTCTATCGTTAATATTCTAAAGAAATATGTTAAGGAGTCTGGTAAAGACTGGGACATTAAATTGCCCCTAGTTTTAATGGCGATTAGAGCTACACCTAGCACTGCTACCAAATTGTCACCTTTTGAATTGATGACAGGAAGAAAGATGGTTTTACCACAGCATTTACTATATCGTACTTCGGATCATAACTTGATCAATGCTGCCACTACGCATCAGTATATCGAAGATTTGCGCAAGCATTTACAGCATGCATTTGCTTTTGCCCAAAAGAATCTAGAAAAAGCAGCGACAGGGGTTAAGACCTATTACGATCTAAAAACCACGAAAAAGGAATATGAGATAACAGATCAAGTCTATCTGTATAACTTTGCGCGAAATCAAGTCAAGGAAAAGAAATTTTTACCTTCTTGGAAAGGGCCATATGTCATCATTGACAAAATTTCCCCAGTAGCGTATAAGATAAAAATTCCTAAGGATGGTGATTTTATTGAAAAGTGGGTTCACATTAACCAGTTGCGTGCTTGTCATCCTAAATCTCAATTAAGGATTATAGGTGTGGATTCGGATGCAGAAGGGTGAACGACTAACCTGGATGAATGCTTGATTCACGTGGTATAGTATGATGTGAAATGTTGTGATGTGCCATGATCTCATGTACGTTCATGTCATTAACCATTTCCTTGCCATCCAATAACTACATTTTATAAGCAGGTTACTAGCTTGTTTAACTGCTATAGGCAAATTGCTGAAGAGTCAGTAATAAATGTAGTGAGGGATGAAGTTATAAAAATAGAATTAGACAGAATACATATGTTGATGAATCGTAATAATGTGTTGTCCTAGGGCAAGTGATGTCACACTGTTATAGTTTGTATGCTTAACAAACCTTGAATCATTAGTAGATAAGTCTGAAACGAGTTTCTGATCCGTGACTGTCGAAAGATGTCCAAGAAGGATGTGGCGTGTTTCTGGATCGTACTGCTCCTGTGCCAAGAGTTACGGACCGACCCGATCGCAGGGATGGGACCATCCTCCGGCATCCTGATTCAAGAGACACCAGGGTTCATCTTAACAGAGAAGAGGATCCTGACCCGACGTGTGTTCGTCAGCTTGGACCCCAAGATTTCCATCGAGAAGGCATACAACATTTCATCGATGCAGCTTCCTGAGTTACAGACTTGGTACCAGATGCACCTCCAAAGAGCACAGGACCGTGTGCGAAACATCTTGGAGCAAGCCCGGAAACCATTTGTATCCAGTTCTATTCCGATGAGCAACCGACCCAAAAGGTTCCTCACCGCTATAATTGTTGCATTAGTTTGTGCCACTGTCGGTGCAGTTGTCGCAACTGGAATGTCTGCAGCCAACTCTATTACTGTCCAAAAGCTGGATATGGAAATCTATGCGCTAAAGCAACACATTAACGATATTCATCAGGTGATACAACAGCAAAGAACACTTCTCCAAGACGTGTTAACTATTGTGGAAGACACAGTTGTTACAACAAATTTGCATTCAGAGTTAATTGCCAAATCCACTGAGTTGCACCAAAGTCATGACTTATTTAAGCGTGAACTTCTATTTCTGCATGACCCAATACTGTTCCATACACTTGCTTTTCTTGACGAAGTGCAAACTGGAATGATCGAATTGGCAGGGGGACGCATACCTCTGTATTTTGTATCCAAGGATATTGTTCATGCGATGCTTGCCAATGTGGATGGAGAGACAATTGAGCCTATGCAATTAAATCTGGCCTTTGAGATGGGGAGCGCTATACCTCTCTTAATTGATCCGGAACGTATGGAGATTTGCTTTTTATTGACCATACCATATGTAACTCCCAAAGACATTTTTCAAATGAAAATAATGTACTATGTAATAATGATATTATGGTTGATTGTACTAAGTGTAAAGTTCAAAACTCTTACAGGTACAAATATATACAAAAATGTTCATTCCACGCACGGGCCTATGTTAGAAATGATGTGATTGCACAATATGTCTGATAACTTCTATAGTGCTTATTCATAAGCTAAATTAATTTTGGCTATGAAATGCACTAAAGGGGGGTTATGTCAGGGTATTTATATCAGCAGACATTTTGTGCTATGATAGAAACTAAAAGTGTATATTCTGAGTCACTCTGAACAGACCAGACTCCATTTTGTTATTTCAAATTAACAAAGAAGACACTATATTTCTATCTGCAAGCTAACCACTTTCCCAGATCTGAGGAATGCATAGTATATACAAACAAGTGATAAGGAAGGGGGTTGGATAGACTGTCTAAAATGCTAATGGAATATAATCAAATCTAAACCCAGACAATTGTGACAGAGAAGATTAAATAATTTAATATTTAACTGTCTATATATATAAGGTACCATTGTATGGAAAAGGGTAAACTTAGTTCATGATCTGTCATATCAGAAATTATGGCAGGAATTGCAGACGCTAAGTCTGGACAAAATTTAAGAAACCCTTTGAAATTTTAAATTATGGCGCTATAAAGATAACGCAAAATGACGTCAAAATAGCCACCAGGAAAAGTTAACTCTTTCCTGGATAGGTATGTTTAGTGGGACAAGACTGCCCTCTACAGACCAAATAACTAATTTGCGATCTGGAAGATAACCACACCTCTAGTGCTTCTATTGGGTTATCAACTGATGACGTACAGAGAGTCTGGCCCTTTAAAAGTTAGGACAAAGGGAAGATAGAGGAGGCAAGAGAGACAAGATACAGGAGAGGAGGCAGATGCAAGATATGCAAAAGAGAAAAGAGAGGAATTGGAAGTTTGGGGATTCCAACTCGGACAACATCTGAGACTAACATTCTACTCCTAAAACTCTAACACTTAGAATTTACTGACTTTCTAACCAACACCTCCATGCAGAGAGACTACCAATCGGATGAAATATCTACTCAACTGGTAATTATACTGGTTTCATTTAATTAAATTAAATTAATTAAAATGTATTAATAGCATTATATATGACTGGATAAAGCACGGTCAGATTTCCATATTAAGAAATCTTAGTTAACTAAGAATATATAGTTATAAACATTCCATTCTGCAGGTGGAATTAAGAATAATTATATATTGATGTGATATTATCACGTGTTAGCATACCGCTGTTTTTATCCAGGTGTATTGATTTGCTCTAAATTAAGATAGATATCTTTTAGACAAATTAAAAATCTGCTTATATAATGTGGTAAATTCTCTTATGGATGGTTTAAGAAAATGACTAGTGAACTGGTTTAAATGTTATTTTATTTAAAAATACATAAGAATAGATCTTAACTACCTAGGAGATCTAGCCAGCATTGAAAGGGTTATTCTAACTGTCTGCTAAACTTTACGACCTTACGCTGCACTCTGAGGAATTCTGTTCTTAGCTGTGAAAAGTCTGTGTTAAAGATAGTCATAAATCGTCAGAATTCTTGACAGATAATGCCGTTTAGCCATTGAAACGTAATCCCCATTTCTTTGTATTGCATACCATTTTATACTGGATATTCATTGATTATTGTCATGCATGTTACATGTTATTATTATTAATTTGTTATCATAAATAAAATCTATTTTTATACATTGTGATTAATTATATGAAATACATTCCACTTAACACGATAAACGTTCTTTGGGATCTGAGAATTGAAATAGTGGGCAATTCTCACTGTTACTATTATTATCCCATAAATATCCCCACATGGTTTAATGTTGATTGGATCGAACAGATCTAGTTGCAGTACATGAATATGTAAATAAAGGACTTCTACGAATAACCAATTGAAATATACAAGGGCGGACCACGATATGCCCTTAAATACCCATACTAAAGATGGAGAAACTATAATCAACATCCTGACAAAGCCAGAAGGAAAAACGCGTAGTTGTATGAGGCGACGCCATATTATGGGCGGAGTCTAAAGGGCCAGCAGCATTCCGTTTGAATGGTTATTCCCAGGAATAAACAAGTTTGGAACCACAGAAGATAGCCAACCTGTGTACGGGAGGCATTGGTGTCGGGAATAAACTATTATTGACCTCTTATCATCCATTTCTTTGTGAGCAGCGGCTTTTCAGCTGCATAAACTCATCAGCGTTTACCAGTAAAAGGCTGTAATTCCCTTTTCCCTCTTCTATTTTTTTTTAAATTGTGCATGTTTAACAAATGTTTACATGTTATTACTGCACTAATGTTCTGTTTATAATGACTAAGTTATATGGTTAGCTCTGGATGATGAGACTGGCATATGTTGATTTTGTAATATATACAAATAGGGAATATCCTGTTAGGGAGAAAAATGGCACAACATGGTGCAAAACTGTGTGTTTACATGATTTATGTATATGTCAAATGGCCACTCACAATTGTAAGACGTAAAAAAGTCTTCATTTTAGTTGTTATGAAGCTGTTTTTAAAGATTGCTGAATTGTCACTGATGAAGTCCCTGAACGGGATGAAACGCGTAGGAGTATATTTTTCCTGTTGACATTCATACCTGCTCATAACAACTTACGTGTAAGTTAATAAATCTGCATTGTGCACTTTATCTTGGTTCCCTTGTAATTGGATACTTTGGTGTTTCTTCTCATTCTGAGAGACTGAAAATTCAAGATCACCAACAGACCTGCATCTACAAAAACATATTGAAGGCTTTTTTACTTCTTACAATTGTGAGTGGCCATTTGACATATACATAAATCATGTAAACACACAGTTTTGCACTATGTTGTGCCATTTTTCTCCCTAACAGGATATTCCCTATTTGTATATATTGGTTATTAACGAAGTTCACGCTGAGGAAATCTTTGGGTTTATTATCCTTAAAGGGAAGTGTATTCATTTATTTATTCACTTTGTTTGTATAAATAACCACATCAATTGCACTTGGATCACTTTATCGAGTTGTGGAAGGTACTATTGTATTATAATATATGTTAATTTTGGTCACTTTTAAAACCATATAACACTACTATTCTGCTTTTAAATAAATGTCTACATGATACACCTGCTCTTAGCTCTGGATGATGAAAGTTGCAGTTTTCAATATTAATATTTTTAATATACATTTTTATAACACACATACACTATTATTTTTGTTGTTGCTTTTTTACATGTTCACTGGATTATATTCTGCCATTTAATTTAGACAGTCTTATATAAGTACAATATATTGATATTTCTGTATTTTTATCCTTTTGTACACTCCTTTTTATTTTCTATTTACACTAAAATGGTAATGGAAAACATGATATACGTTTGTGTATTATGCATTTTTAGCTGTTCTGGCTCCTCCTGCAATGGAAGGTAGAAATATTTTTTGAACAACTTTCAAAAGTGAAACATCATATGAATAATCAGATGTCTCATTTACTCTGGAACACTTATGGAAAATATGTACAACACGTCTCCATAAAAATCATTGTTTTCTAATGATACATATATATTTTTTAAACATCCTGGCTTAAATGGAAAATCTGACGAATCTAGTCTATAGTTGAGTTACCAACACTGCTGACCAGGAAATATGATCTCCTGCATCAATGGTATTGCAGAAGGGAACACAAAGCTCAGTGAAAGCAGACTTGTTGTTTACATTATTAATTATAAAGTGCAGCTTATATGTGAAACTACTACATTACCTAGTCTTATGGGTTTCTATTTACATACCACCTTTAAATTTCTATCTAAAGTAATCATGCTTGTAGCTCAAGGCTTTGTAAGGGGAAGAATGCTTGGCTTTTTGGCAATCTTTAAGGGTTGCGAGTGGGCACTTTATGTATCTCTCCAATCCCCCCCATATAAACAGGGTTATTTACTAAAGTGTGAATTGCCAGGAAGTCAACGTGAAATTCAAGTTAGGGCTGTATTTTCTGGAAGGCTAACAAGGCATTTGCCTTGGGCGGGACTTTCAGAGAGGTGGCAAAAAACGCCCTGCCAGATGCCTTGTTAGCCTCATGTCATGGGGAGGTTCAAGAACTGACCGGCTGGCCACCTTAGCCCCCAAGGCATTCAGCTGCCCACATTTTAGCCAGGAAGCGAATGGGCACTGTCCTCTGAGCTCTTCTTGCTCTGCTCCCTCGTGTACCCGTCTGTGATGTCAAGAGCCAGAATATGATGTCACTCTGGCCCTGGTAGCACTAAGTGGTGTTCGAAGGAGCAGAGCAAGAAGAACTAAGCACCTCACCGCCTCCATTGCGTGCCCACTTCCCTTCCTGTACATCAGCCCAGCCAGGAGCCTAGCAGCTACACTGGACTCAGGGACAGAATCCACTCCAGCTCTCCCAAAAGTAGGGAGGCTGAGTGGATTTAAATAAAAAAAAAGAAGAATTTGTAAGTGTATGAGAAAATGTGTGTGATTGTCTGTCCGTGAATGTGTGTCTGTTGGTGAATGTGTGTGTGTGTCAGTGAGTCTGTCATTGAGTGTGTATGTGTCGGTCAGTGAATGTTTGAGTGTGTGTGTCTGTCGGTGAATGTTTGTGTGTGTCTGTCGGTGAATGTGTGTGTCAGTGAGTGTATCTGAGAGTGAAAGTTCGTGCTGGCTAAACAGTGTGTGCGCCAATGACTGTCTGTGAGTGTATGTCAATGCATGTATCAAAGAGGGCATGTATCTGTTAGTCAAAAAAGTGCATATTGGTCTTAAACATTTAGGAAGAGGTGCGGCCTTGACAGGAAGGTGTAGGGCAAATTTAGATTAGGGGGGTGCCAAATTTAGTCATGCCTAGGGCAGCACAAATTCCAAATACACCACTGGTTATGGTGCTTGGAGTGTTCCTTTAATGCAGCCATGAAATATGATTTCCAGCTAGAGTTTCTGTTAAATCTCCTGAGCAGAGACAGCTCATTGGATCCCTGATTATTTCATCAATGTTACTGGATTATTCGATAACAAATAAAGAGAGAATACACCCATTTCATCGAAATCCCTTCAATCCATGTAAAGCTGTTCAGTGGTCAGATTGTGCGTTTGGAAAGAGACAAGCATGGACTTTCACATACAATCTCATATAGCATTTAATAACAGTTTTCCTCAACTAGATATATGTGTTAACTAGTAATAAATTATCAAGCGTCTTTTGTCAAATGGGCTAAGAGTCCAGAAGATATCTCAGCAAATTCTTCATCTGAGAAAAGATACTTCTTAATAATACCAATGACAGATTCTTCTGTGGCACTGATAAAATCACCATGGTTTTTCATTGGTAGGTGACCTGCAAGTTCACACAAAGCCACATTAAAAGCAGATTCCTCTTTGGCACCAAAGCACGACCTTCTGGCCCATAAGATGACCCGTATGCCTTTTTTAGAGGTCATACTTCCAGGTTCACTCCCTCTGGTTGCAAACATGTTATGTGCAATATTTTTTCCAACAAAATAATCTGTAGCTTTGAATATATTCTGTGCCACCGATGCCAAGTCCTTCTCATTGGTATAAAACATAAAACCAGGAGCTGGGAAATTCGTCAGCAGGTGTAGGTTAAGTTCGGGACACAGCGGTTTGCTGCTTGAAGACTCTATCAAAAGTTCATGGTCCAGATAAAATCCATGCAAGTGTAAATGATTCACAGAGGCAAAGGCCCCAAGGCTGTTGAACCCAACTCTAAATCCAGGATGGGAACTGAGGAGAATTGCTTTTAGACCAAACAGCATTAGATCGCAGGTGAGAATTTGTGTCAGACAGAGAGATGGATCAGGGATAAATAAGACATGTCCAAATTCGAGAGGACTGACATTAATTACAACTAAGGTACCTTTACTACTAGAGGCAGACTCTACTGGACAAGGCTGCTGCAGTGTGATTACAGACTCTTGACTCAAAGATCCATGCAACACATTGTTAACTTCTTGACCATTCTTCATGAGTTCACTCCCCCGTGTCCTGACCATTTGAAATAACACCTCATTAGGGTTGATCTTATTGAAGTTAAATTGGCTGGCTTTAAACTTCTCCTGAATGCTCTGTATGTCTTGTGGCTTCCTCCGTTCCATGCCTCTCTTTATGTTAAGTTGCGCTACATAACTGATTTTACCAGGTAATATCCTGGTCTCTAAACTCCACAAGGGATAACGGAAAAAACCCTGCTTCATTTTCTCTACCCACTTGCTCCTCAGGGCTCTGTCAAACTTTGAAAGGGTGTTTTCATTTTCTCTACATTTCTGTCTGTCTTGCCAAGTCAATCCATGTATGATGAAATCGGACTCTGTATAATTGTAATTTTCGATGTATGCCCCACTAAGACCATTGACGTGATGCTCCTCCATCTTCCACCACTGAATATTTTACATGTATTTCCTGTTACAAAAAGCAAAAATACAATGAAAATTAAACAAAATTAAATAAAAGCCAATATATTTAGTGTTAAAGGGATACTATAAGTGCCATGAATACAAAGCTGTATTCCTGGCACTACCGATCCCTCTACCTCCCTCCCCCCATTGCGCCCCCTCCTACCCGGTAAATAAAGGGTTAAAAAAACTTTATTTACTTACCTTATCCCAGCGCCGAAGTCCTTCGATGGAATGGGTCAAAGCTCTGCCCCCTCCTCCATCCCGCAACGAACGGGGTCTAATGCGCATGTGTGGCAATTAGACCTCCCCATAGGAAAGCATTGAATCATTGTTTGCTATGGGGAAAATCTGGCGCTGGAGGTCATCATGCAGAGCGGGATAACAAACCAAAAGTCTGTTACGATTCCGTAAGCGCCCTAAGTGGGCCCACTGAGGGCAGACTTAGTGCTGCAATGTAAACATTGCAGTTTCTCTGGAACTGCAATGTTTTACACTAAGTGCAAAAGGGTCACAGCACCCAGACCACTTCAATGAGCTGAAGTGGTCTGGGTGCCTACAATGTCCCTATAAGTTTTCTAGAATTAGTTTCAGTACCAGAATAAGTGGTAGTATATCCTGTTTTGGTTTTTGTGCATTTGTTAGTTCTCATGTGTAAACAGCACTTAACCCCTTAAGGACCAAACGTCTGGAATAAAAGGGAATCATGACATGTCACACATGTCATGTGTCCTTAAGGGGTTAAATAGTTTATAGTTAAATAGTCCTTAAAGGGTTAAATAGTTTATAGTTTACTTCTAATGATGCATTTGTGCTGCGCTACCCAGGCTTCCGTGGTGTCATCAGATGTGGGACACCAGGAATTTAAAGAGACACTGGTCACCCAGATCACTTCATCTTACAAACAAAGTTTGACTCAATGAAACGATGCTGGATCTACTCATGCTCTACATCTGTCAGAGAAAGCTCCATGAGAAAGCAATGAGCAATGCTTTACTACGGGGAGGCCTAATGTGTGCGCAGGAGGGGGGGTGGGACAGGGAAACGACGACTGAGGAACATCTTTGTGTCCTTAACACTAAAGTATTTCTATAAGCCGGTCAGAGCCCCACACTCAAGACCTTGGCATGGTTTAACCCTAAACTTTCGAAGATGATGTCTGCTCGCAACTTGCTCTGATGGAAGGATTCACTTTCCTAATTAAAGCCATGCACTGGACGCTGTTAATAGGCTGAGAGTCAGCGGATGCTTTCAGCCTATCACTGGATAAAATAGACAAGTACCTTTTTCACCCAGTTAACTGTAAGATGACCTAGTGATAATCTGAGAGTATAAGCAGACATTCTCAGTCTAACAATGGCGACCAGTCCGAGGAATACTGTACTGAAGAAATAAGACGAAGTTGCTGGGTGCCATCTTCAAATGTTTGGGCTTAAATGGTTAACGCCTTAAAGAAAGCCAGCGCCTTGGACCTCCTGAAGCCATTATGTTTGGGCTTTAAGGTTTAACGCCTTAAAGAAAGCCAACACCTTGGACCACCTGAAGCCATAATAACCTAATTGCCATGAAGTTGTTATGGTGCCCGGAGTGGTCCTTTAACCCCTTAAGGACACATGACATGTCTGACATGTCATGATTCCATTTCATTCCAGAAGCTTGGTCCTTAAGGGGTTAAGTCTGTTACAACTATTGAGTGTGAAAACTCCACCTGTTAGAATCACCCCATGATTAGGGGAATGCACATTTTGTGTCAAAATATGAACCTGGAAAAATAGCCAAATTGCTAAATGTTTCTAGTTTGGCTATTTGGGCTTCTATTGTACAATTCCCTTGTAATTTCTCCCCAGTTTGTGGAGCCATGAACCCCCCTCAGTAAATGCAAGTGGTACCTCTCACTCGTTAGTGTGTCCGGCATCCCATACATTCCTCCAGTTCACAGCCTGTGCATGCAGCGCTTACTTCCTGCTCGGACTGTACCACTAGGGTTACAGAGGGGGGTGTGTGTGCTATCAGCATAGTATTTAAAAGCTGTACTGAGATAACATAAATCAGTTTACATTGCTTTTCCCCCTGAGGAATATTATAGATTTTCAAAATGTTCCTGTTTCCCTCTGGTAGTGTTCCCTGCTTTATATCATATTACATTTGGTCTACCCCTTTCTATGGACATGGGTTTAACTTCCACATCACAGATTGTTGGTTACTTGTCACCCTTGTTGAAGGATATTATAAGAATGTGGATATTATACAGCAAGGTTCATGGGGTACATACTATTTATAATGATTATTCATGAGATCATTACCCAAAACAATGCATCCAAACATTGAACAAAGCATTCCAATGTCATAAAAATCTGTGTGAGCATAAAATATGAGAAATGGACACTCAAACAGCTTTATGGGAGTTGATCAGTAGATGGTACTACGGTATGCCAGATAATGTCTGACATGATATTTTGTGGTTTTTCTCCCACAAGACGCAGTGATGCCCAGATTAAATCTGCACTATATTATAAATGATGTTCAGATAGCTGGATATAAAAGGCATCATGGGAAATGTAGTTAGTGAGCAGTTCCACTTGTTGGACTCCCCCTGCACCGCTTTTACTTGGCCGCTAGAGGGCGACCCTATAGCTGGCTATGGTAATACACGGTTGGATTCCCCTGCACCGTCTTTACTTGGCCGCTAGAGGGCGCTGTTCTATAGCTGGCTATGGTAATACACGGTTGTACTCCCCTGCACCGTCTTTACTTGGCCGCTAGAGGCCGCTGTTCTATAGCTGGCTGTGGTAATGCGCGCTTGTACTCCCCTGCACCGTCTTCACTTGGCCGCTAGAGGCCGCTGTTCTATAGCTGGCTATGGTAATACACGGTTGTACTCCCCTGCACCGTCTTTACTTGGCCGCTAGAGGGCGCTGTTCTATAGCTGGCTATGGTAATACACGGTTGGATTCGCCTGCACCGTCTTTACTTGGCCGCTAGAGGGCGCTGTTCTATAGCTGGCTATGGTAATGAGCGGTTGCCTGGGGACGCAGTGACGTTGAAGGCGGAAGCTGTTGCTCGGCTGGGGGGCAGAAAGTTTCCGGAGTTGTAGTTGTTGGGGTGAGGTGTGTTTGCCGAGCACTGTGAGGGGTTCACTCACCGCAGCTCCATCATCATCCACATCATCGTCGTCATGGGGGGCTCATCCAGCCAGCTGTCCAAATCAGTCATCAACGAGTATCAGGTAACTGGGCTCAGGGATCAGGAAATGCATCAGGCTATCAGTTATTATTATTATTATTAATACCATAGTATGGCAGGCTATTATTATTATCAGTTATTATTATTATTATTATTTATTATTATTAATACCATAGTATGGCAGGTTATTAGTTATATTATTAATGTCATAGTATGGGGACACAGGGAAGACCTCTAGGATTATTATTATTAATAATGTCATAGTATGGGGGTAAAGGAAAGACCTCTAGGATTATTATTATTAATAATGTCATAGTATGGGGGTAAAGGAAAGACCTCTAGGATTATTATTATTAATAATGTCATAGTATGGGGGTAAAGGAAAGACCTCTAGGGTAATTATTATTATATTATTATATTACTAGAGTTACTACTGGAAAGCTGATATTAAATGGGGGTTTAGGGTATTGGGTGCTATGATTAGTGACCCAGTGAAAGTGTCCAGCAGGTGGGGATCATACAGACCGTACCACTGACAAGAAAGCTTTTAAATAAACAAAAAATAAATATATATATATATACATACACACACATACATACACACACCACACCTAACTGGAATTGAATAATGATGAAATGCACTGGATTTGGGTGATTTGGTTAGATTACAAAAGGGAAAATGCAATTTTGGCCCTGGTGGAATTTTTCATTTCCTTGTTCATACTCTACTCTAGTGCACTATAGCATCTAATGGGCATTTATATTTTGTCAATAAAGGTGTGCATTAGATTCGAGTAAATACAGGATATAATCGCTCAGCTAGTGCTCAAAGCCTACCACTGCCAGGTACTTCTTGCCATGGCGTAAGGTAGAGCGTTACTTTGCCTTTGCCATATCAGCATTGGAGAGCTGGGCTAACGGCTGGTGAGGATTGAGCATCCCTGTTACAAAGTGAGTAAACTGTTGAATAGTAATGTGGGTTCCAGGCACCATAACCACTTCAGTATGTTAGGGTGGTTATGGTTCATGCATGTTAAAAGGGAACTGTCACTTCTATTTAAATTAAAGTTTCTCGTTCACTCACCACAGTAAATCTTATTGAAGTGCTGTGGACATAAGTCTAAGAAAGAAAAAACCCAAAAACATACCTCTGCCTTGCCTCTGTGTTAGGAACGCTATTATCTGCTGATTATGCTTGGGTGAAAAAAAATTAATGCATGTGCATGGAAATGCCATACAACCATATGTTACAGTTAAACAGATGAGATTATTTTTTTTAAAAAAATGAATGGGACACCCAATAACTAACTAAAAGTGATTGATTGAGATGTGCAAAAATCCTACTTGTGACAGTTCTGGCTTGTCCGCTTCTGAAGATTTCCTGAAGTTTACTTTTGTGAAGTTAAGTGTCTTTTACTCCACATATTGTATTTTGGAAACAGATCATGCCTACCAAGGCACAATGAGGAAGGGATAATTCAAAGATCACATTATCTCCCTCAGTGTGCTTCTGTGAATCCAGAGAACTCATTTCTAAACAGTAGTCTTGCTTTCAGTTATTTTATGCTGATTGTTCTGTAGATCCTGCGACGGGTAGAAAAACATGGAAATATGCAGGTAATAAAGAGAGACAATGCCAGCATTCATATTTGCACAACTTAATTAAACATTTTATTGAGTGGGTTAACTGTGGTAGAACAATAAGGTGTTTTTTTCCATTAGGCCACTTGGCTTATCTGACTCGGATGTGGCCATCCTAACATAGGACCCATATTGTGCAATCCTTGTTTATTTCACTAATGCCCCTCATCTATGAGACACCAGAGAATTTGTGAATAACATTCTTGATACTAAGAAGGAAATGTATGATGGTGGAGTTTGTGGTAACACATATCTGCTTCTTTATTTAGGAGCTGACCTACCTTACAAAGCAAGAGATCCTTCTGTAAGTACTGTGTGTTATATGTAATTCTTTCAAACTTGTTGCCAGTGGCTGTGGTTTTGGAGTAATGTAGTAGACTGCAATATGTGACTTAAGCAGCTGCAATTGTCCAAAAAGATGTAGGATACAAATATATAGTACAAAATAGAGCACAATACACCCCAAATCAAGCCTACCACGTACATTTAGTCACACTAAATCATCATGGTGATTTTACATATGAAATGATTCCTACCAGGACAGCCCGGTGCTGTATTCCAGGTAAGTAAAACCTTTTTTTTTGTTTTTGTTGCTGCAGGTTTTATTACATAGAAAAGCCCCCATCCACCCACATGAGAGTTGGTGTAACCCTTTAACTCATTTGAAAATGTATGTGTGTGTGTGTGTGTGTGTGTGTGTGTGTGTGTATGTGTGTGTATATATATATATATATATATATATATATATATATATATATATATATATATATGTGTGTGTATATATGTATATGTATGTATATATATATATGTGTGTGTATATATGTATATGTATGTATATATATATATGTGTGTGTATATATGTATATATCTAAAATATTAAATTGAGGCCATAGTTACATAGTATTAGGATAGCTGTGTTGTAAATCTCATTGCAATGGCCTTGCAATGCCCTCTATTGACTGATTGTAAATGTATCAGTTTACATAATGTTGGTATGCAAATTAACACAACCAATAAGCAGATAGGCCTACTCACTGAGACCCCGTCTCGGCGATGATCACTCACTGAGGGGGCAGAACTGCATCAAAGGTGGTACATCATGGGAATTGATAGGCTCAGGGCAACACGTGCCTTCACAGACATCTTACTGGAATACTGTTAATAAATGACCTATTTCACTTCCTTGTACACATTACTGTGGTAAAGTTATATTGCATTGTTTGAGGGTTGTTCTAGTTTATTGGCATGTGATTGTTTGTTTCTGTCGCTATAGTCACACGTTTACACTTATAGTCAGAATAGTCTATTCACTGCTGTAAACTATTAAACAGGTAATGCATTAACCTTGTTCAACTGAGATTGCTGTTCACTTAACTTTACATTGTAAGCTTGTTTGGAAAGGGCCCTCTTCACCTACTCTTTCTGTATGTCATGTGTGTTTTGTTAGAATAAAATGTTTGTCTTGTATTTATTGCACAGCCCTACAGAATATGTTGGAGCTGTATAAATAATTGTAAATGTAACTAAGCCATGCATATTGGGCAGTAAACTATGTATGATTCTGTTATACACTAAACCATGCAAATTTTTTTTATAATATCCATTTAAATATAAACTTGTAATTTTCATATTTATATGGAACGTACTGATTAAGATGTCCATAAAAAGCAATGATTAACTCTGTGGATACGACTTAAGTCTCGATTTAATTAGATTTCCAAATTACTCAATAGTGTTGCTTTCTTACGTCAGATTCCTTGCTTCTAGCAGGGGACCCCAGAGCATGTTAGACCCCTTAGCCGAAGTCTGGATACCTCTACCCTGGATCAGGCAATTATAGTTCTAGATCCCTGCAGAAGTTATATGGTTATTGCTTTGGAGACCTTCTTTCCTGTAAAGCAGTGATTATAGAATTTCCCTTACACATTAGTCGTAACTGAATGTAGGGGAGTAGAACACATCTTTATTGTACACAACTCAATTATTTATACACAGACTCCTATATTCCCAAACCAGGGTGATCTCCATGCAATATAGTTTCCCTTACAGTTCGTCCCACCCTGGTGGCACTTTATCTGGGGTCTTGATTGCACCATTCCCAGGAAGATAGACTACCTGCTGTGCCTTCCCAGACCTGTAGGCAAGATGTACGTAATGTACCCTGCATAGTCACCTAGTACTTTTGCTGTCCAAATAGCACCTTGATCAGGCGTCAGGGGGACAAAGCGATCAAAGATTCATAACCCCAATAAAAACATGCATTTATTTATACTTTTTTTTTTCCCATTTGGATATATTTAAATACATCTTGTAAAAACAGTAAATATCTTGTCTGAAGCCTATAGAAAGTCCTCGCCTTTTATCCCAGCATAGAAGCAAAAGAAAACCTCCAAGGCTTTCTGATTGACAGGCAGGGTGTTGTTTCTTGCTGATTTCTATTTCGATTGGTTCTTTTATAAACTGTCACAAATGTGACTGGCTCTAGACACACAAAACACTTCTGTGGAGTGTTCCTTTAAAGTGATTGAAATTCAGGCTCTAGAGGGTGAGGCATTACAATCGCTTGCCTGGCATGCCATGGTAATTTCTGGAAGGGCGCTCTGGTAGCAGAAACCGTTCTCATTGCTCCATTATGGTTCGTCTTAGGTATTATTGCATTATGTTGAGGTTCTTGGGTCTGCAAGAGGTCCTGTGAAAGCTCTCTGTAGCTGAAAAAGAATCGAAGTACCGTATATACTAGAGTATAAGCCGACCCGAATATAAGCCGAGGCCCCGAATTTTACCACAAAAAACTGGGAAAACTTATTGACTCGAGTATAAGCCTAGGGTGGGAAATGCAGCAGCTACTGGTAAATTTCTAAATTAAATTAGTTCCCAATAAAATTACATTAATTGAATATTTATTTACAGTGTGTGTATAGAATGAATGCAGAGTGTGTGTTTGTGTATATATAATGAATGCAGTGTGTATGTATATAATGCAGTGTGTGTGTTTGTGCAGTGTGTGTACACTGGATGAGGGGAGGGCATTTTTCTTTAAATTTTTTTATTTTATTATATTATTTTATTTTAATAATATTATTTTAATATTTGCATTATTTTTTTTAAAATGTTTTTTTAAAAAAATAAGGCAAATATTAAAATAATAATATAATAATAAAATAATATAACATTAAAAGAATATTATTATTATATTATTATTTTAATATTTGCATTATTTTTTAAAAAATGTTTTTTTGTCCCCCCTCCCTGGCCAGGCAACAAGCAGGGAGGGGGGACAAAACCCATTTAAAAAAAAAAATACTGCAACTATTAAAATAATATAATAATAAAATAATGTAATATTATTTTATTATTATATTATTATTTTAATAGTTGCATTATTTTTTTTTTTTAAATGTTTTTTGTCCCCCCTCCCTGGCCAGGCAACAAGCAGGGAGGGGGGACAAAAAACCATTAAAAAAATAAATAATGCAAATATTAAAATAATAATAATATAATAATATTATTTTAATAGTTTTATTTTATTATTATTAAAATAAAATAATATTAAATCCCTGGTGGTCCAGTGGCATTGGCAGTTCAGTTGGGGGGGGGGGGGGTGACCGTGAGCTCATACTTACCTTCCTGCAGCTCCTGTCAGCTCCCTCCTCCTCCGTGCAGCTCCCCGGTCAGCTCCGTTCTGTTTACAGTGTAAGTCTCGCGACACCCACGGCTCTCGCGAGACTTACACTGTGAGCAGAACGGAGCTGACCGAGGAGCTGCACGGAGGAGGAGGGAGCTGACAGGAGCTGCAGGAAGGTAAGTAACAGCTCGCTGTCAGCCCCCAACAGGACCGCCGGGCTTGTAATGAGCCCGGCGGTCCTGGTCTGTATTATGGCAATGTAAATTGCCATAATACAGACTGACTCGAGTATAAGCCGAGTTGGGGTTTTTCTGCACAAAAAATGTGCCGAAAAACTCTTCTTATACTCGAGTATATACGGTATGTTGCTTTATAAACTAGACAGCAGGAAAGAAAGTGTGCTACAAAGGTAGGTGATTAACAGTGTAGAGGGCAATAAAAATGATTGAAGCATATAGAAGAAAGGTGGGAAGACAGAGCAGTATTATAGATGAGAAAGGAAGCAAGGTGTTGGGAGCAAAGAGAAGGTCTAAGCATGGGTAAATGGAGGATGGATGGGGAGAGCAGTGATGTGTCAATGGAGGACATTGGAGATGGGGGGGGAGACCTAGGGACTAAAGTAATGATTTTAGGAAACCTTGTGAATAAAACCAGTATAATGTGTTCGCCATAAACCTTTATTTAGGTTAAAAGGGTAGATAACCAGCGTCGATCATATTGATAAACTTAGTATTGCTAAAGCTGTCTGGATGATAAATCCATTTTTAAAGAGCAGCTTGCTTATAGTAATAAAATGATCTACTGAAACATTAGCCTTTTCTTAGATTTGTCCTTTCTTCTGCAGGGCTTATAAAAGATTCATTGAGCTGCTTCAAAAAGAAAACAGAAGCAACATTGAATCAGTTAGGATTCCCACGGAAAGGTTCTTGACCCTACCTGAATTAAAGGTACGTATGTTTTCTAGGTTTATGTTTAACATGCAAGAGACGTTCTAGAGTGTGCAGTGCCAGTTTACCTCTCCACATTCTTAATTTCTCAAATAGCTGGTACCTTTACTTTTTGAAACATGATGCAGTGTACTATCCAGGTCTTAATGTTAACCAGTGACTTTTAGCTTTTTATGTCCTTCAGATATATATATATAATGTTGATATATTTCTATTATTTTAAATCATTACGTGAAATCTCCCATGAAGCTTTGAAGTATGATCTGTTAATGCAACAGCAAGCTTTAATAGCAATAACTTAAAGGATCACTATAGGGTCAGGAACACAAACCTGTATTCCTGACCCTATAGTGTTAAAACCACCATATAGCCCCTCTGGGCGTCTCATGCCTCCATAAATATAGCAAAATCTTGCTGTATTCAAGACAGAAGCTGTAGATCTACATGCTGTTTGCCTAAAAAAAAAACCCAAGAAGTCTGATGACATCATCAGAAGTGGTGGCCTGATCCAATCACAATGCTTCCCCATAGGATTGGCTGAGACTGACAAAGAGGCAGATCAGGGGCAGAGCCAGCATGATTCAAACACAGCCCTGGCCAATCAGCATCTCCTCATAGAGGTGAATTAAATCAATGAATCTCTGAGGAAAGTTCAGTGTCTGCATGCAGAGGGAGGAGACACTGAATGTTTGGATGCATTTTAGGCAGCCGTGACCCAGGAAGGATCTCTAACAGCTATCTGAGGAGTGGCCAGTGAAGTTATCACTAGGCTGTAATGTAAACACTGCATTTTCTCTGAAAAAGCCTGAAGGTAATGATTCTACACCCCAGAACAAATTCAATAAGCTGTAGTTGTTCTGGTGACTATAGTGTCCCTTTAATTAATCTGTTGATTCTGTTAACACGTACAGACATGAATGATCATTGCAAGGGCTGATAAAGCATCATTGGAGGTCTTTGTGTTTTTGTTTTTACACCAAGTAGCCTGTCATACAGTGTTAATCTTTTTGTATCCAATCCTCATATATACAGGTGAAATCTTTCAACAATGTTTAATATAAACCAGTGCACACATTTGCTATTATGCAAAAATATTTATTGATACAGAATTGTCAAAGTCAGCGCTAATAAAGTTCATAATATGAATATCAAGTATCAATATAGTATCACCACGGTATATAACAACATATCCTAATATACACAATGTAAGCATATGCTAACAAAATCATATATATACCATAAAACCACAAGTGTAACCATAAGTTAAGTGATCGAGATTTGAGTCAAGTGTCACAGCCACAATGTTTCTGCCTGATGCCTTTCAAGGGGAACCCCTTTATCCCATAAATGATGCACTTCCTCTATAAGTGATCTAATAGAACTACACAGCGCATTCATTTTGTTTTTGCTCTTTACAGGCAAATCCATTCAAACACCGCATCTGCCATGTGTTCTCTACTTCTGACCAGGGAGATGACAGCATGTCTTTTGAAGACTTCCTTGACATGCTCAGTGCTTTTAGTGAATCTGCTACTCTTGAGGTTAAATCCCATTATGCTTTTCGGATCTTTGGTAAGTTTTAGCCCATGTGATGTTTTCTTTTTTTTTTTTTTTTATATTTATTTTATTTCTTCAAGTTATGACATTCATCATGAGAAAACGCCAACATAACTTCTTTACACAAAGACATAATAGTATTATATAACATTAAATAGCTAGAATTTCCATATACGAAATATAGTATTCAATAAAGACCATCAATTATGTATATATAAAATATCTTCCAATGACACATTATACTTGCTTTAATAGCCAGCCATTATTGCAAGACTAATAGAAAAAAATCCTTCAACCATATAGCTGTTACATTTGTGTACATAATCATTATTCTGATAATCCTTCAGCCATATAACTGATACAATTATAACTGATACATTTATATACATAATCATTATTCCGATAAAATGGAACTAACTAAAAAGAAAAACAAACAAAAAAAACACAAAATAAATTAAATTCCTGAGACTCGACAAGGGGTTCAGAATGTCACAATCTTTGCTATCTTATAGTGTGTCTCTTTGTCCAGGGTAGCCATAGTTTATTCAAGTTCCTAGTACCAAAAAAAGGGGTTCGATTCCATCCTATGCTGATAATCTATTTGCTCCGTAATATTATGCCAAGATAAAGGGATGGAAGATTTCCAAGCCCTAGATATACATATTTTAAAGGACCACTCTAGGCACCCAGACCACTTCAGCTTAATGAAGTGGTCTGGGTGCCTGGTCCAGCTAGGGTTAACCCATTTTTTTTATAAACATAGCAGTTTCAGAGAAACTGCTATGTTTATGAATGGGTTAAGCCTTCCCCCATTCCCTCTAGCAGCTGTCTCATTGACAGCCGCTAGAGGCGCTTGCGTGCTTCTCACTGTGATTTTCACAGTGAGAGCACGCCAGCGTCCACAGGAAAGCATTGATAATGCCGCGCGTGCGCATTCAGCCGGCAGGGAGGAGAGAAGGAGGATTGGAGGAGGAGAGCTCCCAGCCCAGCGCTGGAAAAAGGTAAGTTTTTACTCCTTTCCCCCTTCCAGAGCCGGGCGGGAGGGGGACCCTGAGGGTGGGGGCATCCTCAGGGCACTATAGTGCCAGGAAAACAAGTATGTTTTCCTGGCACTATAGTGGTCCTTTAATGGCAAAAAATATATTGGTCAGAAGGTATTTTTGATATTTGTCTTGTGAAGGAAAACCAACATTAAAAAGAAAGAGTTGGGGGCTAATTTCTTTTATTTCCTTAAAAATAGAGTTAACAAGACCCAACATTTGGATTTTAACATTATTAAGCCCCTGACATTCCCACCATGTTTGGTATATAGTGCCCTCCTTATTTCCACATCTCCAGCAAATCCTAGAATAGGCAGATGATATTTTGTGGAGTCCAGCCGGTACCATATACCATCTATATATTATCTTTAGATGGGTTTCGTAAAGAGAGACACTATGTAAGCAATGTTTTACTAGGAGTGTAACTTTGGTCCATTCCAAAAGTGGAAATGATTCCCCAATATCTTGTTCCCATTTAATAAAGGAAGTAACATGGGAGTCTTGTTCCGTTGATTCTAATAATTTAGCAAATCTAGAAATCCCTCCCTTCTTTTTATTTAGCACTATAAGAAGATTGACATTATGGTACAATTCTAGATAATATAAAAATTTTCTCTGGGGGGAAGATTATATTTTGCTTGCATTTGTGTAAATGGAACGGGTTTAGACCCATCCCATAAATCAGAATTCTTCAGTATGCCTAGGTGTATCCAGGATTGAACATTTATGTCATCCATTGTGTGTTGTAGAACACCATATATTAATTTGTCCTCCAATTTTAGTTTTTTTATTTAGGATTTTGGAGGTGTTAATCATATCTATTAATATTTTATTGGAAAAACACTTAATATCCAATTCCCCTAGATTCAATAAGTCAGGGGAGTGGTTATTGTTCGGTAGATTTATCTACCGAAAGCAGATTAATACATTTTGGCAACCAAAGTATGTTGTTTTGTTACAGTAATAAAGCAGCCAATGACCTGGTCAGATCATCCTTGAAGGGGAAATGATCAATAAATGATATCTAATCTAGTTATCCAAAGTGAAACTATTATCAGTAGATCTGAAGAGAGGTCATCCTTTTTGTTTTTTGTTTTTGTTTTTGAGCCTCTCAAATACATGTCAAAATTTGTAAAATTAGTTCAGTATTCTCAGAATTATAATAGTATAGATACATAACATTTGCAAAACATAGATTCCTGATGTGGTGGCCACCCGGATAGGGACACGGGTCTCCCTGCCAAGGATGTCCTTTTTCCCCTATCTGGAACTCTGCTGCGCCGGATTCAGTGATTATAGCTGCCAGGTGATTAAAGCTGTTATAGCTTTCCCCCACAGACATTAGCCAAGACAAAATGCTGGGAGTGAACTGGTTTAATGGTTCATGGTACAGACAATTTATACACAGACCACCCCAGCAGGGGGTCTCTGTACAGTTACATACAAGCTCGTTCCCGGTGTCTCTGTGTCTGGGAGATAGAGTGTACTTTTGCTTAAACTAATTATCTCCCAGGCACAGAGGTACAATGTTCAAAACACCCTAAAACATATATAGTACTACAAGGGACCCCCACAAGTCCTATATCCCTGGATAGGCTGGATTTGAGCGCCTAACATATCCAAATAACGCTCGGATCCCACAAACACAGCCGACTGCACACGTGGCGCCTGCAAAAAATCTTTCCAGGAGAAATGTGGTGGTGGTTGCTCTTTTTTGGGAGTCCAAAAACAAATAAAACACTGAACAGATTCTCTGGCTCCTAGGTAGCGATTCTTTCGTCTAGCTCTTGCGAACAATCCTACCGAACAACACTCTTCTGAGGGGTACGGAAACTAAAGCAGGCGAAGATGGAAGTTCAGCAGTGTTCGCAAGTTAGACTGTGTCTGATTTTAGTTCCATGCACTCGTTGACCAAACTCTGCTGCATGCGTTTGTGCGACAAGACAAGATGGCCACCAGCTCATTTCCCATGTGTTCGTCCAGCCGAACACTTGAAATAATGGAGGTGCCAAGAGGGGTCAACAGGGGTTAACAAGCTCAGAGGTTATCAAATTACGAGGGGTATAACTGGGCAATTTGTTTGTTTGGTTCCTGGATCACTATTGCACTTGGGAAAGATGAACGATCACATGAACATTTTATTCTGGGCAGTTATCTGGAGCCTGGGAAATATGACTTACCTGTGCCAAGCAAAGCATGGGAGCCCGATTTTAAGATCCACGGAGAACTTATTTAAAAAGATGGTGATTGAAAAAAATGTTCATAGTGTAACTTTCTATCCCTTTCATGCTAATAAACATGCAGTGCATTGCACCTGGTGACTCAGGGTTTTAGAGTGTCAATGCCAGGAATGGGCTAGAGCTATTGACTACAAAGAATTTATCATATGAACTATAACATGAATTCAAACAAATGTGTGACATAGCACTATACAAACTATATGCCAGGCTGTAAGAAGCTGTAGTATTTGTTCAGGTTTTCATCTTTCTAATGTTAAATAAAGAGTATAATGGAGTTTGATAAATAGAGCATGTATATTCTAATCTAGTGCAAACTATTAGAAAGATGTGCTCATGGATGAATAACTTTGTTTTGATTATTGGATATACATTATAAAGAGAAATGCTTATGGCAGGGGTGCTATACCACTGAGGCAGAGTCATTGTACTAATAAAACATGTGACTTTCCTGTCTGCAGATTTTGATGGTGATGGTGCTTTGAATGAATCTGATCTAGAAAAACTGGTGAACCACTTGACTGGGGAAGAGGAAAACACAAAATTAAGCCAAAATGAAATGAAGCAGCTGATTGCAAATGTGAGTTTGAAATGATCAATGGGAAAAGACAGAATGCATACCAGCTGTGCATACATTAGTATTACACTATAGTGCCCTCCGGTCCCTCTTCCCCTCACCCTACCCCCTTGGGCATATAAAGATTTTAAAGAAACCTTTATTTACTCACCCGATTCCAGTGGGCCCTCTGCCTCCTCCAACGTCATCCAACGTGGGGACGTAATGTGCATGCGCGACCAGCTCCATGAGCACATTTGGCACTCACTTTTCAGTGACTTGTAAGTTTACGAATATAAACATGTGGGCACGAACATCTTTGCTAACTAAGTATGCTGTTGCTTAAAATAAATGGAGAGCTAATACCCGGGGGGCTGGACTGTCATTTATTTTATAGTTATACTAGATTGGGTGTCTGGGGTCCTTGCACCCCTATTAAGGAATCTCTATTTCAGTGCTCACCTCATTTCTTTTTAACTTTTTGCTATGATAACCATAATCGCTAAAGGCAGAAATCCGCATGTTTTGGTATTGCCACACAGTGGTTTATTATTGGAAAGCGCTTTCCAGAGTGCTTTGCAAACTCACTGCTTCCTTCTGATACAGCCGCAATGCTCCCCCACACCCACCTCTTTACAAGACTATGAAATGTCTAATCTTGTGGGTAGTGAATGCAGGGAAATCTGCTATCCCTCTGGCTAGGTGGATGCAGTGCAAACAATAGAGGATTTTAGACAGTTTGAGAACTAAACATCAAAGTCTCCTAATCCTGTGGAGAGCTGTAGAACTCACTGTTTCTACCGTTCATATCTCCCGTTTAGCCCATTACTCTATTGCACAGGATTTCCTGTAGTGGCATGTCATTTTGGGTCTGATTTTAGTGATGATAATAAAACCCTCTTCATTTTGTTGGCTTATCTTGGGGGTTTGTGTAACATCTCTAAAGGGGAGAGAAAATCCATTGAGAGATCCTATTATAAAAAAGTATCTAGCACAGGGGTAGGCTACCTTCAGCACTCCTGATGTTGTGGACTATATCTTCCCTAAAGCTTTGCCAGCATTATGGTATAGTCCAGCCCTGCTATCCTGCTTTTCTAACACTGCAAGTAATGCAGCCTGAAACATTTATAATGCAGCTTTTAAAGGTCTACATTGTGTTTGTTTTTTGTGTTTCATGTTTCTTTTTCCCCATGAGAGAGTATTTTTGTCTTGTGTAGTAACTCTGTGTTATGTGTTTCAGCACTGCATAGTCACTGGGTAAAAAGGTTTGATTTGTGTTGACAGTTCTGATATATGTATTTTCTCAGATCTTGGAAGAATCTGATATTGACAAGGATGGAACCATCAATCACTCAGAATTTCAGCATGTCATCTCCCGATCACCTGACTTTGTCAGGTATATATTTTACTGCTGTCCTCTATAGTGTGTGTGTGTGTGTGTATCTAAAACTGTTGTTGTTTTAAATGTAGCCCAGCAAACAAATTGTAAATTATAATCAGCTTGTCACAATTTGGAAAGAAATGGGTAAATATAGAAAATGGGTTAGAGCATGTTATTCCACCAAAAGAAAGGTCTTCCAAGCAGGTACTGATCCATTGCCCAATTGATATATTGTAAAAAGATACTTGGCTGAAGAATTGCTGGGGTTTGCCTTGTCCCCATATAAATGGAAGCAACTAATTATTTATTTTTTAATATCATTTTATGCAATTATAATGAAGTATTCTATGCTTGTCAGAGAACAAGGACAGTTACAGAAGACAATGGAAAATACATAGGGTAGAACACCACCAGGCAATGGCATTGCTGGTCTTGGATAAAAGTTGTGAAAATTTTGTCTGTGGTCAGTAATATAAAAAATCCAGGGTGACCAAGTTGTAACAGCAAGTCCTTATTCTTTATATGATTTGCTGTCTTTGCCAACATTAAGGTGGTTACATCATTTTAACCTTTGTTTTGTCATTTGTTTTTCAGTTCTTTCAAGATTGTGCTGTGATTGAATCAACAGTATGACTTATGTCTCATTAGTTTTTTGCCAACGGAATGAATCTGTCTCTTGTAAATACCTCTCTTCTCCAATCTATGCAAGTAACCCAATGAGTGCAGCTACCTGAATGCTACTGAGATCATTTCTACTATGAACAAACCGTCACAAACCTCCGTGGAGTGAAATAGTTTTATCTGTTGAGTCTGTTTGTGTTTCAATATATACGACTGATTTTATGTGTGTAGTTCTAGACAAGGCACAGAGGGGTCCCGGGGAGTCAGGTCTCAGAAGGGCTCTAAAGGCAGAGGGTATTTCTGTACAGTATACCTTGGTTTACAGATATTAATTTAATACAGTATGAAGTCTTTAGAAATACTTTAACATTTTATCATAATGGGAATTTTTAAACAACCCATTTTAGCTGACCTGGCACTAAGACCATTTTAACCATTATATATATATATTTCATTTTCTATTTTTTTTTTTTCCTATTTACTTGCTTGACATTGTGTCTGTATTTAGTAATTCCCTTAAATACTTCTCCATGTCTAGTATAGGTTTAGATTATTGATGGTTAACCCTCCGTACTCCAGGTCTCTGGCTGTCTCAACATTGGGGAAAAAACAGTCCACAATAGCTGGGGTGTCTAAGATCATCTTATCTCTGTATTTTGCAGTGCGCTTTCTTTGGTCTGGTAAGTGTAAATACTGATTTTATATACCATACACTGCCGATGTAGTATGGGGCCCGCTGTACCCCCTGAAACAAAATGTTTACTGGAACTGGAGGATTTTAAAATACATTTCAAGTTGTCTCGTTCTAGGAATGATTGCTCTTAAACGGGTATGTGGTCTTCCCTGTGAAAAAAAATGAAATGGTCATTACTATTAAATGTAAATAATTTTACATACATGGATGCTGTACATTCCATACTTGACACCAGAACATCATATTGTGATTAAATGAGTCTATTTTTTTCTATACACTGTTCAAAACAAATGACTACTGGTTTTTAAACTTGCACTATTTATAATTAATTTTTCTGTAGAGCAGAAATATATTGTAATAAAAATTAAATCGAACTTCCTTCAGCTTCATTGGTGCAATTCTGTACATAAGTAATAATTAAGTGTAATTATGTGCATGGTTTGGTCATCCTGGTCATTTTGAAGGGCATTCATTTTTTTTTTTAAATCTTTTATCCGCTTCCTTTAAAGAGGGCTTCATTAACTGTATCCTTAAAGTCACTCCTGTGAATTTAAATGGTCAAAATTTGCTTTAGTGATTATAGCAGTTGGTACCACTAGGGGGCTGAGCAATCCAAAAATATATGACCTAGGTTACTTGCAAATTCCGAGGTATGTAATTAGAACTAGAATTGGTCTGCACATGTTTGGCATCTGGCCTTTTAGTGTAGAATTACTTGAGAGGCCTTTGTCATGTCCACGTGACTCCTGCTTACAGCGTTAAAAGTGGCACCAATGTTCCAGAGAACCGAGCCTTTTGCATTTACCATCTCAAACATCCATTTACTCTAGCAACATTTAGGATTTCCATGTTATCTCAATATATCAACTATAATACAGTGATATCATGGAGTACTTAATGATTTTAATTAATTTGATTGCTTTGTGCTAACAAGATTCGCTTTCTCCACTGAGCTTATATTTTTGCTCAGTGAAAAGGGACTTAAGTAATGACTGACTAATAAAGTAAGCTGACCATTATTTGCGTTGCTTCCTTATTAAGCATCAGACAGTTGTTCATTTCTGAGTCTATGTAATGTAACATTTTATATATTTGCGAAAAAAAATTTCTTTTTTGTTGACAAGACAATTGCCTGTTTTCCTTGTTTTACAAGGTTTAGATATACAACTCCATCCAATGACAAGAAGATAAAATACATCTTCATCATTTGGAACGTGAGACCTGTGGACCATGTTAATTGACCTGGTCTTTCTGCCTTGCCTGTTGTCGTTTGACTAGTTAAACTACAACTCCCAACAAATTGAGTGGGCCACATAAACAGCAAAGCTCAATTAGGCACTTTAATGCAATGGGGACCAGTGACAACTGGTGAAATATCAATATGGTGGGACACTCAACATTAGAACTTGAGTCTACCCATTTAACCCCATAAGCCTATAGATACATGTATGTGGTAAATTAACACCCTGTGATGCTGTTTCCCTTTTACAACCCTAGAACATAAGACAATATGCAGGCTTGCTTTTAGTATGTCCTGACGCTCATTTAATTCTAACAAAACACGTATGAAATGGGAACGACTGGCGAAGAGGGCAATGCTCAAAAAAGTTTATAATCTTCGATCGGATTAAAGGGACACTTCTGCCCATTGGAGTGGTCTGGGTGCCAACTCCCACTACCCTTAACCCTGCAAGTGTAATTATTGCAGTTTTTATAAACTGCAAAATTACCTTGCAGGGTTAACTCCACCTCTACTAGACAGCCACTAGAGGGTACTTCCGTGTCTCTAGCACCTCCAGCGTCGCTCAATTCCCCATAGGAAAGACCATAAAGAATGGTGAGAGCACAGAGAAACAATAATTACCCTTATATCCAATATAAAACCTGTAAAAAAACAATGGGAAAAACAGGCATAGGGTAATAACTTACAAATAATATATGAATGAGTGAATACTTGAATAAACTCACATATTCATGAGCCACTTAATATGGAAGCTGGCTCAGACGAGGAACATTGAATGGATTAGTGAGGTGGTCGTTGTAATCCAACTGCTTAATTGCTTGCTCCTTCTTGCTTTACAAAATCCAGGATGCAGGATCTTTAATGAAAACCTTTATTCAGTATAGCAGCAAAAAAAGACAGCAGCAGTAAAAGTTAAAATTCAGCAATTCCACCTCTGCACACTAACGCGTTTCAGCCAAAGCCTTTATCAAAGTGTGAGTCCATTCAGTCAGTTCCGTTTTTAAATAGGAAAATTTTCGCGCCTTTCTTTGTAAATAAGCTCCTCCCCCCCCTTTTTTTGCAACTTTATTGGGCATCCTAGCGTCCTTAACGATCTCAATTTACTTCCATGTTTATTGAAGAAAAGGAACAGCGAACTAGTCCATTCACTTAAACAGTCTTTCATGTTGCAATAATCAGAGTCCTATTAGCAACATACTTCATACATATTGTCAATAACATTGAAACAAATATTACAGTCAGATATTCTTATTCCAATACATAGAATATTAGCAACAGTTAAACGCTCTCTTTCTCAAAAAAGGGATTAAAAAAGGTAAGAGAGGCAAAAGAAGAGGGAATAAATTTAAAAGGGAAATAAAAGATCAAAATAGAAAAATCTTCTTATTCACATTTAAAGGTATATCGGGAGAATGCATCATACTTAAAATACACTTATTATAATCAATATTTATAAAATATTAATTAGTATTACTAAAATTGAAATTAATATAAAACAACCTAAAATAATCTCTAATAGATTTTCAATGCTTTCCTATGGGGAGCTCTAATGCACATGCACGGCATTGTGTATTTTGTATGTTATATATATTTTTTTTTTTTTTTTTTTTTGCAGCCCTAATTTAAGGTAAGCTAACTATAACTTTTCATAGCGGGGATCTAGCTGTCTAAAACAGTTCGATCATTTCAGATGATGTAATTGCCAGTGCCAAACACTAGATGGTACCAATTGCCCTGGAGAGGTCTTCAAATAAAGTTAAACCATTGTTTTAAATGAAATAAGTAATTGTAATACAGTACATCTTTCTCCTCTCTTCTATTTGCTCTGAATTTACATTTGTGTAGTTAGACTTGCACTATACAAAGGAGTTAGAGTTTTTGTTGTTTTCCCCAATTGTGCAGCACTGTGGAATATGTTGGAGCTTTATAAGTGACGATAATGATAAAATCCACGGTATACCACACTTTTAGGGATTATTTATGAATATCATATCTGTGACACAATTATAAAAGTGTAACAATTAGAAATAAATATATATTTGTTTTTCTTATTAATTTAAACTGCATCTAAAATATCATCTTAAAGTGCATTCTCACCACATAGTGCCGTACACACAGGCATGTTCACATCTACAAAGGGATTCCCAAATGCAATTGTACAGCATTTCTTTGTAGATGAGAATGTCTGGAGCATCATGGGGTGAACTCTGAAGTGCTGCACAGAGTTTAATGGGGTGAGGCAACCAATGATCACTTGGAAGCCATATAGTTATCATTTTTAACTATTTTTAGTGGTACTTTAGAAGTCAATCAAGCTGGGGTTAAAATTAACCCCCCATCAACGTTCATAATGTATCAAGCTTCAGGGCGACAGGACTACAATAAATACCTACATGGATCTGCAGCAATTCTGATTTATGGGCAGTAAATGTGACTCTTCCAAAGCCTTTATGGGGAAATATTATTCCTTTCAGAGCTTAAGAACAGATTGTTTTTTTCTCAAATCCATGCCATATACAGTACTTACCACCAGATCTTGAGTTATTAAAAAATCTGACATTAAAGGGACACTATAGTCACCAGAACAACTACAGCTTATTGAATTTGATCTGGTGAGTAGAATCATTACCTTTAGGCTTTTTGCTGTAAACACTGTCTTTTCAGAGAAAATGCAGTGTTTACATTACAGCCTAGTGATAACTTCACTGGCCACTCCTCAGATGGCTGTTAGAGATCCTTCCTGGGTCATGGCTGCCTAAAATGCATCCAAACATTCAGTGTCTCCTCCCTCTGCATGCAGACACTGAACTTTCCTCATAGAGATTCATTGATTCAATTCAACTCTATGAGGAGATGCTGATTGGCCAGGGCTGTGTTTGAATTGTGCTGGCTCTGCCCCTGATCTGCCGCTTTGTCAGTCTCAGCCAATCCTATGGGCAAGCATTGTGATTGGATCAGGCCACCACTTCTGCTGATGTCAGGTCTAAAGGAAACAGTGACAAAGCCAGCAGCTCCAGACTAGAATACATGTAAGATTTTACTATTTTTAGGGAGGCATGAGGGGACCAGGGTGGCTAGATGGTGGTTTTAACCCTATAGGGCCAGGAATACATGTTTGTGTTCTTGACCCTATAGTAGTGCTCCTTTAAAGAAAAATGTAAAATGAGAATAAAACCACCAACCTAAAAATACACAGAATCATAGACAAAGACCTGAACGAGAACATGCAATCTACAGGCTATCCTCTAGGCCATAACAGGCTGCACACTCTCAAGAGACTTACATTCCTCCTACAGTCCTATAACAGATCTCCTAGAGGTGTATGTGTATCCCCATAGAGGTTCCCAGCAGCTCACTATACGTTCAATGCTGTTTGTTGCTTATCTTATATACCCATACCCAGTGAAATATTTACTATTATTCTTTTACAATTCACAGACAATGGAAAAGCTGTATAATTTATATACAAATGCTAATAAAATACAAATTGAAAAAAATACACAGAAAAATCTTAATACTGTACAAGGAAATGTAACAAATGCTTATGGCATTTTTATAATAACCTGTGGAAGAAAACCTTATGGGGAGTGGACTCATATTTTATAGTTCTGGTTGAGTGAATCTGCTGAGCAAGCGGTTCTTTGGATTCTTCTGTTCTTCCAGGTTAATTGATGTTTAATGTTTACCTGTACACAACTTAAAATTAGCGCTGTCACGGGGGGGCGGGGCCTGACCACCGGCGGGATCAGACGTGCTCTGTCTGAGCTCCCGCTCTAGGGTCCGAAAATCGGAGCTAGCTGGAGGCCAATCCCGAATAATGACCCATGAAGGTGACCACACTGACCCCCCAGCAATGGGGGTACGCGGAGACACCGCCCAAGCACCGACAGCAACCCGACAGGGGCCCAGAGCGCACTGGAGCTTGAGCCGGGACGAGACGGCCGCTCTCCCGGGTCTCCGGCCGGCGTCTCGCTCCCCCTCCCCCCTCTGGACCGGGGGGGTCATCCCGGTCTGTCAGGGTGCCGGCCATCACACCAGGCCGGGCCTGAGCAGCTGTCCTGGCGCGCTATACCCACCGGACAGAGCCCCTCAGGAGGGCCGCAAGATGGCCGCCACGCGCCAACCAAGTACGCGAACGCCCAGCTTAGCCAAGAGGATCGAACCTGGGCAAAGAGCCAACAGGGACTTAGCACCAAAGCATCGGGCGCACCAAGAGTCCCCACAGCAACCGACGAAACACTCACCTCTCAGGCGGATTCTCGCCCAGCGGCAGCCCGGGGCTCCAGTAGTTAGGAAAGCACCAAAATGGCGGAGAGTAAAGCGGCATACACCACAACAGACACCACGTGAACGGACATCACCGATTCTTAAGCCTGTCGACACACCAGTAATAGTGGAGGTGATACCGTCCCCGGTGAGCAGCTTTGCCCTGCAGCCCACTCTGAAGCAAGCGCCCCACCGTACCAGCGCTGGTCCTAGGCAGCATAGCAACACCAATATCTAAGGACACGTAGAGCTGGGGCCATGCCTAACTAAAACCTCACGGGACACTAACAACACACAGATCAGGACCCTGACCCACAATCAGCGAGCATCCAGCTCATAAGTTTTATTGTTCTTTTTCTAACGAGCCTTCTTTTTCTTTTATTTTCTGGTTGGTTTTGTTATGTTTTGCTTCTCCTATCTACACTGTTATGCTTGTCATCCCTCACGACATTCACTGACTTAGGAAACATGCAGTTAACACTAATGTCAAGCGTATGATAAACCATGTCTCTCTAGGCTTACAATTGTGACCGTAACACTGCGAGCTTGTCTGTTTGAAAATGCATAAGAAATCTCCTTACTCAGGGCATATAATTCTGGATCTAAGCTTGTATAATCTGATGAATCTTATAATTATTCAACACACTGTCAGTCAGCTAAGCTTAATGTATCTACCATTATTATTTCTATACCTCATGACTTAGACTAGCCAGCCATGTTTACTATACAAAAAGAAAAATGTGCAACTTACTTGTGCCATGATTATGCCTATAATGTAAAGCGAATGTGTGCTGTTGTGGCACGTTAAACATGTTTGTCAATCACTTGCACAGAAAAAATAAAGAATAAAAAAAAAATAAAAATAAAAAAATTAGCGCTGTCACTTTTAGGAGTCCTTGTATATTTTCAACAAGCCCCAAATGTGACAGGCCAACTTGTTGTGTGTCAGTCGGGGGAGAAAATTAAGGCAGATAAGCTTTCCCTCTTGGGTAGATCGTTCTAGTGATTCAGCCACCATGAGCATGCATCTGTGACGTACTCTTCAACACAAGCAAATGTACAAAACAGAAGGCTTGCAAAAGCCTCCACACAACTTATCTCACAATGTGCTATTTCTTTTCAATGTGAACTGACAAAATCTGAAGGCTGATGCAGCACAGTTTTTTTTTTAATTATATACTTTTCCTTTTTTATCAATAAAAGAAACAGACATTACATGCATGGTAAACGGTAAGTAATGAAAGGCAAGAGTTCAAAAATACCAATGGGCTCCCAACATTCAGCATATTAAATACAATGAGAACATCAAGTTAAAAGTTCAGACTCTCTATTAGCCAAGGTTCATCTGAAGAGAATTATGAAGTCAAGGTTTTGGTGAGTTATACTGAGAATAAATCGAGGGAGGCATAAGAAGAGATCATGCCTATTGTGGAAGAACAGTAATACCGATGATGGTGAAATAGGTATCCAAGGGGTATGTTTTCAATGTCAGCCTATGAAAGTAATGTCTGGTAACTGCGATTGTGTTGTCTATAGACCACCCCAATTGTTGTCTTGTGATGATGACCTTACCGGTAAGCTACAAGGTATGTTATGAGCATCAGGTCAAAATTGAGGAACAAGGACTTGGTCGAAGGACACAGACCTGAACGAGAACATGCAATCTGCAGGCTATCCTCTAGGCCATAACAGAGATATATACATACAACAGTGGGGTAGAGTAATAAAGGAGGAAGGGAAACTATGGGGTAGTGAACAGGTATTGGAAGTGGAATCAGGTGCCTGCAACCCTCCAGAGGTAAAGAAGAGAAGAGACAAAGAAAGAGTGGAAGAGAAGAGAATTAAATTGGTACCAGAGAGCGCCTTTCCATCCCATAGTGTAGAAGAGGCTGAATTGTGCATGGTGAGGTGAACTTTTTAAATTAACAAGAAAAATAGTTTTCTCCATCTAATCAAGGATCCAACATTTTATGAAAGGTGTTGATGGTATCGTGTAATTGTGATGCAAGTTTGTCCATAACTATGTTCTCCCAAATAGTTTTTTTACTCCCGATCTTGGTGGTAGCCCAGACTTCACCAATTTCTCTGTGGGTGGATAGTGCTGTACTTGCTGTTAGCTTGTTCTGTGTCCTAGTGAGGAAGTCTAAAGGTTTACAAAGTTAACAGGGCCCAAGGGTCTAGCGGGTACAATTTGCCAAGAACTTGAAAGAGTGTGGCTACGATTAAATTCCAAAGTTGTTTGAGCTTTGGACAGGTCTACCAGCAGTGAAGGAAGGTGAGTAAATTAATTTTAATGAAGGCAACATGAACCAGTCAGAAAAAAAATCTTCATTGTGTTAAGTCCACATGTGCTTTCTGCTGAATGGGTGCATAGTTCCTGTCGTAGAGAGTGCTATGGTCGCTAGAGATAGATGCCCAGATAAGTAATATTGGTTGTGCACATATGAAATGGAAATTCCCTTTATAATTGAGTTAAGTGTCTATCACCTATTTCACTGTGAAACAATTCCGATTTTGTCAAGTTCAGTTTGAATCCTAAAATTATTGAGATTTGATATAGTAGGTCAAGTAGGGCTGAAATAGATGTGTCTGGTTTTGTGAGGGTATGAAGAACATCATTAGCATAAGCTGCAACTTTGAAAATTACACCTATAAAATGTATCCCTTCGATGATTTGGCAGGATCGTATCCCCTTCAGCAAAGGTTCAAGGGACAATGCAAAAAGGAGGGGAGATAGTGGGCATCCTTGTCTGGTGCTGTTTGCTATAAGGAAAAAAGGATGGGGAATGCTGAGGAGAGTTATAGGTAGCTTTAAGGAAGCTAAAAAAATTCTATAAGGAATTTGAGATGTGTGAGGAATGTGAACAGGAAGGGCCACAGGAGGTGATCAAATACTCTTTCAGCATTCAAGGATATCAAGGCTATCGGGAGATGTTTATGATGGGTGCATCAGATATGCTATAAATATATACATCTGTTTGTTGTCGGCTACTTGTCTTTTCAGAATGAATCCGACCTGATCAAGGTGCATGAAATTGCCCATAACTTTAGTCATGAGTTTGACTCCGGGAAATAGGGCGATAGTGTCCAGGGCCGCTATGGTCTTTATCTGGTTTTGAGAAAAGACAAATAGTAGCAGGGGTCATATAAGGGGATAGCTTATTACCTTTAACTAGCTTGTTGAAGACCACAGATAGTCATTTTAGTAAAGGGTCACCAAATACTTAGTACAGTGCTGTGAATCTGTCTGGACCAGAACTCTTATTGGGTTTAAAAGAGCCCAATGCTGCAGTTATTTCTTCAGTGGTGACCTCTGCAAGCAGTGCCTTTCTAGCCATTGAGGGAGATATAGGGAGTGTAGAAATTGGGAGGAGAGAGTATGTCTTTTGAGTTCATCTTCTCGAGTATATTGAGTATGGTTATAAAGCAGCAAGTATTGCTGAAACACTTCTCTGTTTTTTTCAGGTAAATCGTTAATGGATCTGTCTGAAGTTTTAATTCAATTTTATGTTTAAGGCATCAGGCTAATAAGAAATAATCCCTATTTCCTCTTTCATAGAATTTGTGTTTAGTCCAGATAAGTGCTTTGGAGAGGTCTGGAAATGTGAGTCTTTATCTCTGTCTATGGTCAGTTGTATGAGAATGTTGGTCAAGGAATTCTGCTTCTATGCGTTTAAGTTTAGCCGTATTATCAGTGATTTGTTGGATACGTTGCTTCTTAAAAGGTCACAGCACTGCCCAAATACAGAATATCAAGTATGACTGATTTGTGAGCTGTCCAAAGACTAACTGGCAAGGTAACTGACAGGGAGATACTGTTAAAGTATTCAGTAATATCTTATATGGCTTCAAGCAAGCAAGCTCTTGTTGTGCAATAGAATTGGATTCAACTGCCACATCCATGGCCGATTTTATTGTTCACACCAGGTTATTGATCCAATCTCTGATTTGGTGGAGAAATTAGAAGTGATCCATTAGTGAATACGAATTGTTATGGTGAGAGTAAAAGGTGAAGTCTTCTGTTGAAGAGTGTTGTGCTCTCCAAATATCCAATAAATTCCATTTGTTTATTCATTGTGATAATAGAACAATTTCTAGACGGCATGAGTTTGTGTACCCTTCTACCCACAGTTAGGGCGTGAACAGCGTTGCAGTCCCCGCCTAATATTTTGTGCAATAATGAAACCAGGATGTCTGTGTCACAGGAATAGAGCAACTTGTTTTAGAAATTATTTCCAGGCAGGGCCAATTACGGTTAGTTTGCACATTGCTATATTCTCAGTTACCTCTTACCTACCAGTCCCTCTTTATGTGCTTCACATTTTCTTTAAAACAATGTTCCATTGACAAGGTAATGTCTGCACACAGGCAAGGTGAAATCTGAAATGCGATACCTGTCTGTAGGGACGGACTGCTAACTGTCAGGGCACCCAGGCACAATTATGCCCTTTAAAGGCCATTGTAACAGTATAAACTAAAAAGGTAACAGTTTGTATTTTATTTATATACAATAATCAGCCACACATGCACTGTATGTTCCAACACCATTCTATCATTGTCAGCAATAAGTGTTTCAGCAATTTTAGCTACAGTAGTTCTTTTGTGTGATCAGACAGGCAAGCCTTTGCTCACCACATGCACCAATGAGCCTTGGGTGCCCATGACGCTGGTTCAACAGTTGTCTTTGCTTGCACCACTATTGGTAGGTAGTAACCACTGCATACTGGGAACACCCCATAACACTTGTCATCTTGGGGATGCTCTGACCCAGTCATCTAGCCATCACTATTTGGACCTTGTAAAAGTCACACATTAAATTTAAGAACCAATTGTTCACTTACTGCTCAATATATCTCACTTCATGAGGTTTGCAAGTTTTACATATAATGTCCAAAAGCCCTCACACAAAGCCTAAACCATGCTTTCTCTTGTACCAGGAGAGAAAGATAGGGGTGGACTTTGGCTCTGCCTACAGCTGAACATAACCATAGTCTGTTCTCATTTGCATGCAGAGCTGGGAATTATGGAATACTTGTGGAACCAGGATTTCTTTGAATGTCTGTGCCCAGAGTGCAACTTGAGATATGCTGGTGATACACAAATTTATTTAAAGTGTTCACTTTCTATTTTTGTGGAAGCAGCTATGTATTAGGTTGTACTTTACATTACAGTTTATAAATATTCTTATTCTACATAAGTAAGACATCCAAATAGAAAATAGCCAACATGATTTGTAGTTTTAAATTTTTTATTAAAAATTATAAAGTGCTTACATAAAAAACATAAACCAAAAACAGATGATATCTCCTATGCCGTTGAGGAGAAACATCTAGAAATGGGGGACATATCACTAATTAATGGTTTGGCACAAAAAGCGGAACATTGATATTTACAGCAAACTTTGAATTAAGAAGCATGCAAAGTCATTTATTAAAAAACTAGCCCTGCTTTTATGCTGTCCTCATGGATTGGTGCAGTATTAGTTACTGACACTAGGGGCATTCTATAAACCTGGTACATACGAGCAGGCACTTCAAACAGGATGAATGCTCCCCCTGAAAGTGCCCAGGCTATGTGCAGCCACAAAGCATGGACATTTGGGTAGCATTTACATTGTGTGCCTATAGAGAAGAGAAAAAAAAACAAACAGATCCCTTTTGCACAATTTCTACAAGTTACTTTAAAAGCTGGAGAGTGAATGTGCTTTTGTTTTTAACAAATTGTAAATACTGTACATTTTCTGGGCATATCTACAGTTTGGGGCATTTTTAATAGGCTTTATATTTGAAGATTAGCCTAGTCCTCTATCTGTGCTATACGGGGCA